CTTTTCTGCATCAATTGATATGATCATGTGGTTCTTCTCCTTTGTTTTATTTATGTGGTGGATTACATTGATTGTTTTTCTAATGTTGAACCATCCCTAGACTGCTGTTCTTATGTTGCTATTTTTGGTTTTGTTTTGTTTTGTTTTGATCACATGAATGTGATTTTGAAAAAGAAAAGAAAAGAAAGAACAACCAAAAGAGGATTGGTTACAGAAATGACTAAGAGATTGTAAAGCATGGTGGGTTGTAAGCGTAAGGACTCGGTATGGGTTCTAATCCTAGCTCCGCCACTTACTAGCTGTGTGACTCTGGGCAAGTTGCTTTACTTCTCTGTGTCTTAGTGTCTCCATCTGCAAAATGGGGGTGATAAGAGCATCTATGTCACAGAGTTGCTGTGAGGCTTGAATAAGTTAGTATGAGTAAAGCTGACAGAACAAAGCAGATGGAACATGACTTCATCAGTGACAGCTATTGTTATCCTTATCATGGAACATGCAACATGGATTAAAATGATAGCAGAATGCCGAGTTCCCCTTAAGTATAAAAATATATGAGTATATTAAGGATACTCTGTACTAAGTATGAAAAAGAAAGGGTATGTCAATGTGATGTACATTATGTGTGCATGTGTGTGTGTGCACAGTTATATGTAACATAGATGCATACATACCACACACAGGGGTGTATAAACAGGGTTCCTTAATCTCTGTCCAAAGAGGTTAAGCAACTTGACCAAGTAGATGGGTTAATTTGGCCACCAAGCCGTGACCTCCCAGTGGTGACGCCTCTCTCTTTGCCCACAGAACCCCAGTTTTCCGGCCTTGTCGCTCCCGCGCCCCCGGGAATCCCATGCCCAGAATGGAGCACGGCCTGGGGTCCCTGCTCGACCACTTGTGGGCTGGGCGTGGCCACACGGGTGTCCAACCAGAACCGCTTCTGCCGACTGGAGACTCAGCGCCGCCTGTGCCTGCCTGGGCCCTGTCCGCCCACCAGGGGGCGCAGCCCATGGAACAGAACAGTTTAGGGCCAGGCCTGGGAACTGTGCCAGCACTGTCCACCGTCCCCAGCGGGCAGCTCTGTGCCCAAGCTCAGGGCATATGACGGCCGGCCCCTCCCCACGACCTGGGCTGGAGGTAACAATCCAGCTGCGATCCAGCAAACAGGTCCCAGAGGACAAGAATATTCGCAAGTGCACTGGTCCGTCCGCACCGTGAGGGGTCTGCAACCTGAGATGCGGCTCAGAGGGGTGGAGGCGCATGACCTAGTCCCCCTCCTCTAATTCAGAGACTCAGAGGCTGCCCAAGGTCTCTAGGGTTTCCTGCTCCATTCCTTGCCCATTCCCATCCTCTATGTAATGGACGAACTTCCTCTCCACTTTCCCTTGGGAGGATCTGGTACAACTGACTCCGTTAATAACTAGGCAGAGGCATATGCTGGCCTGGACTGGCCATTTTCCTAGGAGTCGCTGAAAAACACACACAGACGTTCCCAATCTTCTGCTTCTTTTCCTAAAACCAAAAGACCAAACCAACCGCCATCGAGTAGATTTCAACGCATAGCAAGCCGCCATTGAGTGTCCAAGGCAGTAGTAAATCTTTACAGAAGTACATTGCCCCATCCTCCTTCCACGGACCACCTGGTGGGTTTGAACCACTGACCTTCTGGTTAGCAGTCAAATGTCTTAGGCACTGTGCCACCAGAGCTCCTTGCTTCCTTTCCCAGAGTTAAGTAAAAAGTCCCTGGAACATGTGTGCACCAGGCTTGTGTTCCTCATCAGAGGCTACATTCCTGGTGACAAGCACAAGATGAAATCACATTGCTTTAAAGAAAGTCAGAAATAGACCTTAAAGAAATCTCTTGGGTACAATTTGTCTTTTTAAGAATCAACCTTTCTTGAGCGCCTACCACTTGTCAGGTCCTGAGTGAGACCCTCTACACAGGTCAGGGCTTCTCAACATATCTGAGTAGGGAAAGACAGGGGAGAGAGGTTACCTTCAGGAACAGGGGCACACAGCCTGAAATAAACCAGTGAGAAATGCTATTTGAAGTTCATGTTTTATTGTAAGAAAAAAAAAATTGTAGAAACTTTGCATCCTCCTCCATGATCTACTGGCGTTTGTTTAAAAATAAAACCCGTGCTTCCAACAGGATCCCACAGCCAGGACATTAGAAGACATCCCTGGTTTTCACACAGGGCACCTGTCTTCTGCTGGGTGCTGGATACCGCTCAGCAGCTGTATATTCAGGAGGGGAGTTGCTGGGTCACAGCATGTGCTCTCTCTACTAGGTCAGACTATCTCCCAGTATAATGGAGGTGTCTGCACACCATCAAAGCCAAACCCAACCCACTGCCATCGAGTGGATTCCAACTCACAGCAATCCTACAAGGACAGAGTGGAACTGACCTATAGGATTTTTAAAGGCTGTCATCGTCGCCTCATCTTCCTCCTATAGAGTGGCTAGTGGGTTTGAACTGATGACCTTTCAGTTAGCAGCTAAATGCCTTAACCACTGTGCCATTAGAGCTCCCTTCTAGACACCATAGGTGCTCAATTAATACTTTTTACATAAATAACAGTCACATGTCAGGCTCTGTGCTAAGCACAGTTATGTACTAACTCACTTGACTCTCAAAATAATCCTTTGGTGTTATCATACCCACTCTTCATTTATCAACACGGGTAGGTTCCAAAGACCAAGTCATTTTGCAAACATTGGTATTACGTGAAAATGGAGGGTGACCACATCAGATCACAAAATGGAGGATGGAGACATCATTACATAGCTGCCAAATTACATCATTACAAACCACTGCGAATCACGTCCCAGCCAAGCTGACACATACCTTAGCCATCACAGCCAGTGTTACTCTAGCCTTGTACCTCAACATCGTTACTGCCAGGTGTAGTCATTAATGCACAAAATAGTCAGACGGTCAATTTTTTATTATTGTCATAAATGCAAAGTGTTGGATAACAAGATAAGTCAATAAACGAGGAATAGGTTGATTACCATTATCCCCATTTCACAGATGAAGAAACTAAGAAACAGAGAAATTAAGAAACAGCCCAAGTCCACACAGTTCAAAGCTGGCAGAATCGAGATGGAAACCTATGCTTTCACCCACCAGGCTACTGACTGAGGTTCCTGATGTGGCTCAGGGATAAGGCCAGGGCCTGGACGAGTGGCTGTGGGAATGGGAAAGAAAGAGCTGATGGAAGCATCAGTAGGGCTTGGCCCATGCTTGTGAGGTCTCATCTGAGTGATGGATAAGAGGAGCAGGAGAAATTAGAAGTCACAAACATCCCAGGGCTGTCTGCTGCAGGATGGGGAGAATGATGGGGCATTGAGGGAAATCAGGAGAGCAGAGGTGAGCCCTTGAAGGTGGCAGATACAGAGGAGGAGTTGTCCTAGACGTTCTGAGTTTGAACAAACCAACATCACCCAGGACACTGTGGCCAGACGTTGCTGGAGATCAAAGATGGGTCAAAATTAAACACAGAGAAGAGAGTTCAAGTCTAGGCAATGAGGGTGTGAGTCACCTGCACAGAAGAGAGGACACAGACAGATGTACTAAGCAGGTTCAGTTATGGAAAGAGCAAAGAGGTATGCGTGCATGTTTGCCTGCTTAACTCTGACCACCTCTCTTCATCCCCACTTCTCCCTTCATGGCCAGGGCCACCAGCATCTCTGCTGCAGTAGCCTCCTTCACGGTCCCTGCTCTGTACCCTTGCTCAGCACAGCAGCCAGAGGGATTCTGTTAAAACCTAAGCCCCTCCTTTCCACTCCAAGAAAAGCTACAGGCCTTCATCTGACCTACAGGGCCTCCATGATCTCATCCTCAATGACTCTCCCCGAACTCATGCTGCTCTGAGCTCCCGGGCTTCCTCACAGTCCTCGGACACTCCACCCAGCTAAGCCCCTGAGCTCGCTCAAGTTTTGACTTCCATTTTGAGTCAGCATCTCACTGAGCCCCTGTCCTGGGCACCCTCTTCCAATCCCTCTTCCACTGCTCTGCTTCTTCTCTTTTCCCATAACATAAAATGCTTTTTAACACACTATCCAATTTACTTATTACATTTATAATTTATTCCCAACTCCCCCAAAACCACCATGACAGCTCCACAAGGACTGGAACTTTTTGTCTGTTTTGCTCACTGATGGTCCCTGAGGACCTAGAACAGTGTCAGGCACAGAACCAGGCTCAGAATTAGGGTCAGTCATGACTGAATGAATGAAAAGAATTAATTCTTCTTCTTCTTCTTCTTTTTTTTTTTTTTTTAAAAAAAAGGATTTAATGGGACTTAGAAAAGTAAATATGTAGCCAGTAAAGTGAAGTGATTGCCCCATTCACAATGGTTCTTGTTCTGGTTTCCTAGTGCCGCTCTGACAAGAAGATACCACAAATGGGACAGCTTGACAAACAGGAGTTTATTCTCTTATAGTTGGGAGGCTCTAAGTCTGAGTTCAAAGTCCCAGGCTCTAGGGGCTGGGTGAAAGCCCCTCAACCTTGGGCTTCATCTCTGCCTCCTGCTTCCAGCCCACTGGAGCTAGAGGCTTTTCTTCACTCAGACAGCTGCTGGCTGCTGAGACTGACAAGCCCAAGGTTGACAAGTAAAAAGGCACAGTTCTGATATCACCAAACCACACAGCAGGCCATTAATTCAAGTCCATTGAAAGTCCCAAGGTTGGCAGAGCATGGCAGGCTGCTGAACCACGACATGGCTACATACAGGGTTCAAGCTGTCATAAGCTAGAGACCATTCCCAAAGCTGTTTCTTATATATGGGCAGCAGACCACATACCCAAAGCAGCTACTCAGCTGCTCCAATAGATTCCATTATGGAGTTAAATACCAATCTTACCAGCCAGCCAGTCAATCAGGCCCAGCCAAGTAGACACACAAACGTAACCACCACAATTCTCCAGCGGCATGTCTGTGTGGGCCAGCACTCACCTCTCCCTCCCCCCAATCCTCAACCTCAGAAGTTCATAAAGTGTGGCCCCTGGACCAGAAACCTCTCCACATCCTCTGGGAACTTGTTGGAAAGGCACAGTCCTTGGGTCCCACCCCTAGAGGCTTTTGCAGCAGATTTGTCCAGTTTAGTATGTCGTTTGATATCTTGACTGCCGCTTCCACGGGCATCGATTGTCGATCCAAGTAAAATGAAAACCTTGACAACTTTTATCTTTTCTGCATTTATCATGATGTTGCTTATTGGTCCAGTTTGGGGGATTTTAGTTTGCTTTATGTTGAAGTATAATCCATACTGAAAGCTGTGGTCTTTGATCTTCATCAGTTAAGTCCTCTTCACTTTCAGCAGGCAAGGTTGTGTCATCTGCATACTGCAGGTTGTTAATGAGTCTTCTCCTTCTTCATATAGTCTAGTTTCTCAGATTTTGTGCTCAGCATACAGACTGAGGAAGTATGGTGAGAGGATACAACCCTGAAGCATGTATTTCCTGATTTTAAACCACACAGTATCCCCTGATGCTGTCTGAACGACTGTCCCTTGATCTATGGACAGGTTACTCATGAGCACAATTAAGTGCTCTGGAATTTCCATGTTTCACAATGTTATCCACAATTTGTTATGATCCACACAATCAAATGCCTTTGCTTGGTCAGTAAAACACAGGTAAACATCTTTCTGGTATTCTCTACTTTCAGCTAAGAGACATCTGACATCAGCAATGATATCCCTCATTCCATGCTCTCTTCTGAATCGGGCTTGAATTTCTGGCATTTCCCTGTCAAAGTACTGCTGCAACTGCTTTTGAATTATTTTCAGCAATCTTTTACTTGTATGTGATATTAATGTTATTGTTTGATAATTTCTGCTTTCTATTGGATCACTTTTCTTTGGAATGGGCACAAATATGGATCTCTTACAATTGGTTGGCCAGAGAGCTGTCTTCCAAATTTCTTAGCATAAACAAGTGAGAATCTCGAGCATTGCGTCCGTTGGTTGATACGTCTCAATGGGTATTCTGTCAATTCCTGGACCCTTGTTTTTCACCAAT